ATACCACTAACTGGCAACGACATTGCAAGTTTTGTATATGTCTAAAGTAATAGCAGTACGACCTTTACCCGGTGGAAGGATCTTGTCTGAACAGAAGACATACTCAAAAAGTCTTTTCCAGATCTTCTCAGAGCTATGTGCTCAGCTCCAAAAAAGACTCCTGGATATATACTGCCATCTGAATGATGTTCACAAAGGGGTTGTGCATGGGTGCACAGATTTCGTGCATATCTTGGCTACTTAAACTGGGATTTGATTGTCCAACTGCAGCTACAGAGTCAGATAAGTTAGTGTTGACAGTGATCACCATTTCAAATTAAATCAATATACACTCTTGCATAAAGAGTTATAAAGACAAAATGGGCATGAAAAACCAGAGCAAGGCTATCTTCAGGTAATAATGTCAGGCCACAATTCTACTTGGGTCACTGGTGTATTATGTGAAAGTGTCAGGAGTTGCAATCTATCACTTTTGCCAAATCCCCACTCAGCCTGCCCTTCATTTGGAACCTGTTCTTGATAACGCATATTTTATTCAGTTTTTTATATACTTTTACACCCACATTGTTGGATTTGACACTTTATAGCCAAGTTTTAACCATTTACCTGTCAAACCATCCCTTCATTATTTTGTGAGTTCCCATGAGCAAAATGTATTACAACAGAATTCTAGTGCAATGTTGAAAAACAGAGATGACATCTTAAACCAATGGGATATACAGTATGCTGCTGTAATTTCTCGCCTGCTTCTTCATTTAATTTTGTTCACATTGAAATCCTAGTGAGGGTTTTCGGAGTGGCATTGACACTGACTAGATTAGCTGAGAATGATCACAACCACTGCTGCCATGCAAATCACTTTCCCCACATGCAGTGGCGACAACAGCACCGACATAAGCAGAAGCCTCGTCAATCTTCTGAGAAGAAATCTGACTGCCAGAGGCCCTGACGCATGCACCTGGGTTGCACAAAATCCATGCACCATTTACCACATTCAACCTGCAGGCAAAGCTGGGGTGCAGACAGGGCCATGGCTAAGACAAGCAAAGAGCCAACATTCACTAGAGAGAAACCTTGGCATGAAAAAGGTGTCAAGGGGACCCTTGTCTGCATGCCCCAAGAATTGTCCATGTTGAGCAGCTATGGAGAGCAACATGTTCTCACAGCTATAGACTTGCTCTGTGAGCACGCAATCCTGATACTTTCCCCTGCAACCTGAGCTGCATCAAGTCTTTGGATGCTTTTCTCCTACTACCAATAAGCAATAAGGATATATGTATCACTTTTTAGCTTTACAACGCTTTAACGGTTGATGTCTTATTGTGTTTTTAATATTTTGTTGGGAGCCACCCAGAGTGGCTGGGGAAACCCAGTCAGATGGGTGGCATATTATTATTATTATTATTATTATTATTATTGATCATTGTTCTATCCCTTCTCAAAACAATTAGAGCTTGCTATTACCACCATTTTACATATGGGATAACTAAGCCTAAGAGCAGTCAAAGGCCAGGAAAAGAATCTAAGTTTGAGCTGCAGGCCTACAGTCAATGCGGGGCAGATACAATCAATTATATAATCATATAATTGACTACATGGAGAATCCCAAACATTATCAAATGTATTTAAAGCAATGGGAAACTCTCCAACCTCTTGGGATTATTGCCTTAGAAATAGGCATAAATAGTCACAACTAGTTTCCATTTGAGGACAGATGGACACTGGGACCACACTCCCCAAGCATAACTAATCTTATTGAAGGCACCAAAACACGCTCATTATAGGTTGCAACAAAGAAGGGGAGAAGCAGAGTGAGACAAGTTTGCACGAGAGAAAAAAATGATTAGACCACACCTTGTTCTAGTTAACAAAATTAAGTCATCAATATGACTGATCTATAAGAGGCTTCCTTCTACATGCCAAGCAAGGAACGTCACCCTTAATGGAGTGTTGCCAGATGTCTACAGGGGGGAAGTATAACTTCCTTCATCCTACCAAGGCCCAAAGACTGAATGTGCAGAGGTGCATAGGAATGTGTGCTTTTACGGCTCATGAATACTTATGCACAATTATATTTTAAGATTATGATATCTGTCAGCTATGTTCTGCAGTTCTGCAGGGGAAAGTGTCTATCTTTCGCTCACTGGTATAGCGAGCAGTGTTAAGATACTAAAAACTTAAGGAAAAATGCTTTAAATCATGGGTGGGGAATCTATGGCCCTCCAGATGTTATTGGACTTCTTCTCCCATCACCCCTCACCAGCATGTCCAATCGTCAGAGATAAAAAGATCATTCCCCACCCCTGCTTTAATAATAAATTTATTATTATTTCAGGAATATATACTTTTCTACAGCATTATGAATGCACATATGCCCAGTTGGTGTGAATGGCCTACTAAGCAAAGAGCACAATATTCCAAAATTCCTGTAAATTTTGCCTATGCTTGTGAAAGTACCAGCACCAAAAGTACTGCCATGTCCAATGGGGCTAAGGACCAGTAGTGGTGTTTCACTGCAGGCAATTAAACAACTCCAGTGCAATTCTGTTCATTGCTGTAGCAGAAAATAATTATGTGCTATTTACACATTCATTGACCAAAAACTGATGGGGCTGGACTCCTCAAACTGCACTTGAGCTAAGATCATGACACCCTCCATTTCCTACTCACCCTGCCCAAGCAAACTAGTTGACCACCTCTCACCCTGAGGTCTCCAGCTGATGAACTGGCAGGCAGGCAGACCACCAGAAATGAGGTCACCACTGGGCCCACTGCATCACTGCAAAGGTCGCAAGGGCAGCCTCTCATTTCCTGATGGTTGCCTATGAGGTAAGAAGCCAGGAGAGTGACAACACGAGAATGGGCCTTTTCTCTGGTGGCTCCCCATCTGTGGAATGCTCTCCCTGGAGTGGCTCAGCCTGTGGGTGCTGGCCAGGCGAAATGTGCTTCTTAGTCTCTCAGGGATCTGACCCAAATAGTATGTGAGTGGTTGCTTTCAGCCTGGCAGTTGCCTCTCCCAGGGGCATAGCATGGGGAGGGCTAGGAGGGGCACAACCCCAGGCACATGATTTTGAGGGGGCGCGAGCCAGGCACCCGCTCCTCCACAGGGATGCTCGCCCTGCCTGCCACTGGGGGTCTCTGGACCCCGGAGCCCAGCCTGGCCTTGCCATCACACCCCTGTCCCCCTCGTTGAATGGCTGCTCAGTCAACATTGGGGGATGCGCCTAACAAGGGCTGCATTGGTCAGTCGGTCTCCCCCCTTAGTGGGTGAGCAGGCGGCACAGCGCAGCACAGCCCATAAATCCTCTGTGTCCCGTGTCTGTCCAGTGGTGGTGGCAAAAGTTGGGCTGGTGTGGCAGCTTTTGCTCATCCTCTGCACCTAGCCCCTGGTCCCACCTGATGCATAGGTATATGCATGCAGACCCCAGGCACTAGCAAAGGACGCAACACCACTGGCTTCTCCCACTAGGACATGAAGGCTTACCCTGGAAGCCTCTGTCTCATCACAGACCGTTCTGAATGGACCTCTCATTTCTTGGGATAATTGTCAGATAAGTGCACACAACTCTCTTGCATGCTGCTTTTGGACTGTGATGAGTAAAATGGTGCCACTCGGGCCAAAAACATGCATGCACAAGGCACTCCTTCCTACCTAAAACCAGTAGTCAGATTACTTGAAGAGGAGCATTCTTTTTGTGATGTACCACCAGTGCTTTTTTCTCTAGAAAAATAGGTGCCGGTACCTGCCATGAAGTTGTTACAGGAAGTGGCACACTTTTTAATAACAACAAAAAGAGGTGCTGGTACTGCATACCCTTGAGTACCCCTGGGGGCACTGTGTACTACTTAGATTATGTTTTCAAAGGCTATGCATGTGTCTTGGCTAAAATGGAACAGGAGGAATGCAGGGTCAGAGGATTTTGTTAGGTTCCCACTGTCCCCAATAATTTCCTCTATAATCTGAACACTGCCTGGAGCAGAGATGGGGAAACTGCAGCTCTTCAGAAGTTGGTGGATTCCAGCTCCCATCAGCACCAACCAGCATGGCCAATGCTCAGGGACAATGGGAGTTGTAGCCCAACAACCTATGGGGTGCAAAGGATTCCCCATTCCTGGATTAGTCCAGTGATAAATGACAGTATTTTCTGATGGGAAGGTGACTTGCCAGAAAACAGGCAGCATTTCATCTTCTGTATCTTGCATGGGACATGCAGAGCATGCTAGGGCAAAAATCAAGTAGGTGTTGAATGTGACCAACAGGAAGCAAATTGTCCTCTTTCTCCCTTAGCTCCCTGCACGTGGCTCATTATAGGTGCTAAATCATGGTTGGGGAATCTGTGGCCCTCCAGATGTTGTTGGATTGCAACTTCCACCAGCCCTAGCCATTGGGTCATGCTGACTGAAGCTGATGAGAGTTGAAGCCCAACAACAACTGGAAAGACACAGGTTCCCCCATCGCTCTGCTAAACAATATTTCTTAACAGTCACTTGTAGCATTTGTGTATGTATATATAAATTTATGTGTAAGTGTGTGTGTGTGTGTGTGTGTGTGTGTGTGTAGATAGAGATAAAGATAATGCCTAACCACAAAACTCCTATAGGAAAACTGAAAGCTGTTCCAGCACCACGACCTCCACCACACAAAACATGCATCTCCTCTTCCATTAATGGTCTCCTATATTTGCCTTGCTTAACCCTCTGAAATGAGATAACAGCATCATTTTAGCACCAGCCAATCTCAGTCATACAGAATCCTTACGGGTTGTTTCATATGTTTCCCTATGACCTTTTCATGACACTGCTCCTGCAACTTGATTAAATGTTCTGGAATTATTTACAGGTGGCCCTGACTCTTAACTTTGCTACTAGTTACAACAAAAGGTAGCCCCAGACTCTTAAAACAGGGTGGGATGCGGTGGTGATGGTGAATGACACATCATGCGCTCAAATTTCAAAGTGAGAAAGGGGAAGTGAGGAGAGTCTCTTCCGGACACATCTACCTTGCTCCACCAAACCCATGGTGGCACCGGAGGCTGCTGCTGCTGCAGACATTGTGGCAGGAGCGGTGGTCTGTCTGCCCACTGTTAGCACCAGGTAGGGAAACAAAGAAGTAAAGGACAGCAAATAGGGAAAGGGATGGGGAAAGAGTTAGAGAGGAACAGAGAGAGAGAAAGAGGAAGAGAGAGGAAGAGAGAGGGGGAAATAAAGAAGGGGAAAGAGACAAAGGAAGCAGAAAAAGATTAGAGTTAAAAGTTGAGATGAAGAGGCGTGACTATTGGTAGCAAACGTGCATTGACTTTACACAATCCATGGGTCTTTTCCATGTGATCCAGAGTTATTCCTATATGTCTTGTTTCACTGCTCTGGAGACGCCATCCTGTGCAGTATTAGGCTGGGGGACACTGTATCCTGACCACACAATATACAATTCTGTAAACACTAGGAAGATAGTCTAGGAGGCTATTGATCCTTAGATCCCGAGTTCAGAAAAGGAAGAGTGATAATTATCACCAGAACTAAACTATGCCACCAAAAGTAGCAGAAATGATAAGGTGTGTGGAACATTTAAGAAAGATTCTCACTGTTGGGCTTGCAATTGCTAGAGTCATAAATCATTATGCGGCACAAGACGTATGGCAGCCATACATTGCTTCTGCAGCTGGTTTCCTGAGCTTCTTGGGAGTATTAAATCCTTATGATAATAATTATTGATTAGCCATTAATACCATTTCTGAGTTCTCTTCTGCGATTGCTCTGAAGCTATTGACACGAGGAATAGGAACCTAAATGGCAAGTCTGGAGGCCTCAGAGCTAGCTTAGGACACTGTTCACTCAGTAATTCTATAACTACATAAAATCTGTGGAATTTGGCACTTGTCATAAAATTATTCCAGGGGAAAAGTTGGTGGTAGAAGACAGACGCATTGTACACTTTATCTGCTTTCCAACTGGGAAGATCAGACAGGCTACCCTAGCTAAAATTCCAGGAGATTCTGTCAATCCCTCTAGCTGGCAACATTCTGCGAGTAGTCTGTGAATTATTTTTTGCCAGAGATCACACTCCCCCCCCCAACACTCTATGGCCATCTTTCCCTTCTCTTCCTCAACACCTTCAAAATGCCGCTTCTTCCTTGCCACTTTGTTCATCAACACCCAATTTCTGTCCAGAAATTTCAAATTCCACAAAGAGGAGGTATAAATTCTGTGTTCTGAATCAGACAGGTCACTCTTCCATAGTCAGCAATAGATATAGATATAGTATTAGGAAATGTGTGTTTCTTTCATGCTTGCGGAATTTGGATTTCCTAGTTGTGGAATGTGGATTCTGTCATTCTTTGCTATAAATCCATGGAGTCTTGATTAGGCCCATGGACAATGATGGGAAAGGAATCCCTGCAGGAAAGTGAGGACGGAGAAACAGTGTGAGTGGGTGGATTCTTGCTTGAGGAATCTACTCAGCCATCATACACCCTCTTTTCTCTTTTAAAACGCAGAAGCTGATGGTAACTTTTCTAACCAGGGACAGCAGTTCCTCTCCCCTGGGATCAGCAGTTTGCTTTTTTAGAAGCCTCTCTGATTGATCTGATGATGAGCATCAACCAAAACAGGAAATACCGTGGGGGGGGGTGGGGAGACACACAGTACCCCTGCATTTCAAGGAAAACCAAACCAGAAGTGTTAATATGCAACAGCTCAACACTTGTGCCTTTGTAGTGTCCGATCTACTATTATATTACCTAGAATTTTTTTTATTAAAAAAATGCAACTGAGAAAATATGGAAGTAGACGGAATACCATTTCAGATCTCAGAGGCAGGATCAAAGACATTTCATTGGAGTGGGGGCACCAGGCAAGATTTGCGACAAAGCCTGAAAACGAGCTCTTTGATACATATGAAGAATATATTAAATTGCAATCAAGTTGTGTATTTTGAGAGCATTTGTTATGATTACTTTTTGTACTTCTTAAGAACTAGAAAAACAAGTGATCCTGAAGGATAATTACACATAGCCTAGAAGACAAGAGAAATGGGGATTGGCTCCCTCCTGAAATGGCACAGCCCTGAGTAGAAAATACAAGGGGTGGGGGGCAGAGATAGATCCAGAAATCCTGGGAAACCTGCATTTCTGCAAGAACAGGGGCTGCTTCCAGACAGTCTCTATTTTCAGGTGGTATTCAATCGCATACAAGCAAATCCAAAGCTGACTGCGAGGTGTCGTGGAACAACACTTCTCAAAAGACTGGATCATTTGCAATACGGAAAGTGACATGGAAATGCACTGGGAAATGTGGGACTTGCATCATCTAACCTCTTCACAAACAAATCAGAATGAATGCTCTTTAAATAGCCCTCGTGGTCTAATCTCCCTGCAAACAGATGAGAATGAATGTTCAATAAATAGGTCATCTGGAATCATCCAGGGATCCGGAATATGCAGCACTAAATCAAACCACTTTGACTGATTGTGTTGTAAAGGCTTTCGCAGAGGAGGGGAACGGCAGTGGGGGACAAGTACAGAGGTCAAAAGGAAGCTAGTCAGAGTTCTTGGAAGAAAGCGTGTATGAGGAGGGCATTCCAGAGCACACTTCCTTTCTCTCATCTTGGCTTCATGTGCAGAGATGGACTTGACATCCAGTCAATGAAAATAGTTTTGTGTTCCATTCCTGGTCCCGACATACAACTTTCCGCATCACAATACTGCCATGCCAGAGAGCACCAGGATACGAGAAAGAGGAGAATGAATGTCACACACCAAGACCAAGGTTAATGAACAAAATCTATATTAGTGGAGCAGCTTTGACAGTCGTTGCACCTGTGAGGACCCATCTGAAGACTGCCTCAGTTAGAAGGTGTGCGAGTTAAATAAATAAACAAATTTAAAGGGAAATGGAAACTGCTGAAGTGTGAATAGGTTTCTTTTCTCTTCGTTAAGCAAAGCAAATCTCTCACCTGAAAAGTTTCTCGTTGCCAGCATAGTGGTAAGAATTGCACCCTAAAAGAGAAATTAAAAAAAGATGTTGGGGGCAAGTCAGAAAGAATTTTTAAAAAATAATTTTTAAGCGCTTTTTAAGAAAACGTATCACAGATGAAAAGGTTGGGGGGGTGCGAGAAGGGTACATAGATGATGATGATGATGATTATTATTATTATTATTACCACAAATAGCAATACATTACTTAAAGGAAAAATGAATGCAACAGCAAGTTATAAACATATACAAACAGCAAATAATTTTATTTTATATCTAATCATTAGAGAAATCCAATACTTAAATACGCTGTATCTCAGAAAACAATGTTTTACCCACTTTTCCAAATTATTAATTTCCAAATCAACTTTAACATCTCAGGGAAATGAAAAAGCGTCACACACATTAGAGATGTACCCTCTAGATCTGCTATGCTGAATAGTCTATCCAATTTTTTTGTAAACTAATCTTTTCTTTGTTTCCCTTGCCTGCTCCGTAAATAATAAGTTAATTTTGCCATAACTGCTTGTTCCCAAACTGTTTTTTGCATACCAGTCAGTTATAGCAGTGTTTCCCAACCTTTTTTGGGCAAAGGCACACGGAGGTAGGCTGGTGTGCCGTGGGAGGGAGGCGGGCGAGTCGGGCGGCGAGCACACGCGGGGCGGCGAGCGAGCTCCCTCCCACATCCCATCGCCGCTCGCTTCGGCCGGCCTACTGGGCTGTCGCAGGCGGAAGGCCTGCGCATGCGCGAGGTTTTCGCGCCTTCCTCCAGTAGGCCGGCCGAAGCGAGCGGCGATGGGATGTGGGAGGGAGCTCGCTCGCCGCCCCGCGTGTGCTCGCCGCCGCCGCCCCGCCTCTCGCCGCCCGAGTCACCCGCCTCCCTCCCACGGAACACAAGGCAACGTTCCGCGGCACACTAGTGTGCCGCGGAACACCGGTTGGGAAACACTGAGTTATAGAATGGGGAAAGAATAAAGTATTTCTGTGTAAACCTAGACTATGCAATGCAAGAGGAGCAAAAGTAATTTTCTAAGTCCTGCATCCTCATTTCTAAAGTGGCAGTGATAGGTCTGAGTTGTTCAATCTATTAGATGGGTCCGGCTAGGAATAATCCTGCCTTAGCATAAAAGTCTGTGTAAAATGCTGAAGGACTTTCAGGTCTCTAAGAACCACTCTGAGACTAAAAATTCACACTGGTGTGTATTCCATCGCATTTTTAATTTCCCCCATATCTGAGAACATAAAAGGTAAAGGTAAAGGGACCCCTGACCATTAGGTCCAGTCGTGACCGACTCTGGGATTGTGGCGCTCATCTCGGTTTATTGGCCGAGGGAGCCAGTGTACAGTTTCTGGGTCATGTGGCCAGCATGACTAAGCCACTTCTGGCGAACCAGAGCAGCACACAGAACCGCCATTTACCTTCCCGCCAGGGCGGTAGCTATTTATCTACTTGCACTTTGACGTGCTTTCGAACTGCTAGGTTGGCAGGAGCAGGGACCGAGCAACAGGAGCTCACCCCGTCGCAGGGATTCAAACTTCCGGCCTTCTGATGGGCAAGTGCTAGGCTCTGTGGTTTAACCCACAGTGCCACCCATCTGAGAACATATCATGTGATAATTCACCACCATAACTTGTAGAGATGGTTGCCAACTTGGAAGGCTTTGAAAGGGGACGAGACAAAATGATGCAGCATAAAGTTACCAGTGGCTACTAGTTAAGATGGCTATATGCAGTTTCCAGGTCAGAGGGGCAGTAGTATGCCCTTGAGCAAACGTCACTGGGAGGTTGGCCACTTTGGGAACAAGATACTGGACTAGTCTGGTTTCGTGGAGCTTAGCACAGAAAGCATGATGCACCCACCTTCTAAACAGAAATATTATTTCAGACTGTAGTTTTGACCTCAGTTTGGGTGAGTTGGTAGTTTATTTCTTGTTTCATAGGAAGTTGCCTCATACCGAGTTAAGCCAATGATTCACCCGGCTCAATATTGTCCACACTGACTGGCAGCACTTCTCCAGGTTTTCAAGCAAGGAGTCTTTCTCAGCCCTAAAGATGCCAAGAACTGAACCTGGGACCTTCTGCATGCAAAGCCGATGTTCTACCACTGAGCTATGACCCTCCTCCTAAAAGGTCTTACAAAAGGAATTCAGCAATGGACACCCCTGAAAGTTTCTGTTTTCATGTTTATCCAGCGTCTGTAATACACTCCTGTTCTTACCTTGAGCTTCCTTCTGGCATTGAACTTTTTCAGACACTCTACGGTTTCCTGTCTGTGCATCATGGAGGCCACTGTTGAACGTTGCTGTGGAAAAAATGTAAAAGTAAAATAGAGGTCAATGTTCGCAAAGCCAGGACATAAATATAGGAAGGAAAGGGGGGAAACTAGCAAAAACGGTAGGGAAGAGCATATTGAGATATGCACTGGAGTTTAATTCCCACAGAACCTCTCCGACACACCTACATGGCTCTTGTATGTGTGATTCTGTATGAAATTAAGGCCTGTGCACATAACTGTGATGCAGTCTGGATCTGCTGGACAATGGCAGTTCTGTCAAAAAAAAACCCAGGCTATTATATCTATTGAGGATCTGGATCCTGTGGCTGCTATATGAAGCTCTTTTGGCCAACTTGCCAAAGTATGTTCAAAAGTTGGGAGTTGGATATCAAACCTGATGTGCAATTTTATAGCTGAGGTTGATGCAGAACCTTTGCCCAGAACAGGTTCACCCATGGAAGCGTCTTACAGATCAGGAAGCTGCTACCCTTCAACAGTTGTTGCATTCCATCTCCACTGTCCCTGACCATTGGATCAGCCATGCTGGTTGCGGCTGATGGAAGTTGGGAGTCCAACAACATTCAGAGGGCCACAGGTTCCCCATCCCTGCTATAGACAATGCTGGGCATCTGTCAAAGCACCCCATATTACTTGCAATCCTCATCATTTTTTTTGCTACCACATGCAGCCTTAGAAAGCATACTGAGATCTCTAAGGAAATTAAATAAGGTGACTTCAGAGCCTCTTAACTATTCAGCCCTGAACGAGCAGGTGAATGTTGGTTATCAACAAGACAGGAGCACCAGTGACACTTACACAGACCCATGGATGTTTTAGAGCTTCGTGAGCTGTGATTCTCTTTGCTGGATTGATGGTTAACATCTGGTTTATGAGGTTTTTTGCTTCGGGAGTGACTGTGTCCCACTCAGGAGAAGGAAACTGAGGATTAGAAGGCATAACATGAAGGTTATGGTCGAGGACACATCAGTATCAAAGAAGGAGAACGCTACCATCCAACAGGCTAGCATTTATTTTCAAACCCCTAAAAGCAGCCAAATGCATCAGGAAGGGTTCCAGGGCTGCCCAGATTCCTCCATATCAAATTGGTCCCATAATCTGGCTTATCTGACCCGTAGGAAGCCCTTAGAGGAGTAGGCATGAAGTGTACTTTTTACACAATACACAATTTCAAAGCATACTGGCTCAGAGGCATCAGAAAGAAATGCAAGTGTTCCTAGCTTCTGTTAGAGGAAACAGCCTTAAAATGAGAGTGCATGTGACTCCTAGCGTGTTGCTCTGCTCCTTTGGTTCCCATGAGATTAATGCCTATGAAGAGGATTGTGCCATGAGGAGCATCATGTCAACAATGTAATGAAAAACAGAAAGAAAGGAACCACTACTCACATCGTAGGCTCCAGCCTTAATCTGTTGGTACAGCTTGTGCTGATCCTCATCCCAGAAAGGCGGATACCCAACCAATAAGATGTATAGAATAACACCTAGGAGAAAACAGGGGAGAGCAGCAAATTTAAAATCAAGTGGACCTAAACCCTGCATTGCATATTCTGACCATTCAGGCACAGTGGAATAGGAGGAAGGAAAAGTGGAAATATACACATTCCCCCTGTTTGAAAACAAAGTTATACAATCCTGAATTTCTCATCCTGATGCCCAACTTACAGAGAAGCCTGTGTAGTGGAAGGAAAGGGTGTAGCCCTCAGTTTGGTATGGGCCAGCAATGGTCTCTGAGGTTCTTCAGTGACTGACATCCAGGGCTAGAGCTTGCATTGCTTGCAGAAGAACCCAGGTACAATCCCTAGCTTCTCCAGACCGACAGCTGGGAAAGGCTCCTGTCTGAAAATCTACAGAGCTGCTACCAGTCAAAAAATAAATCTGGGATTGAGCTAAATCTGGGATAAGGAACCCATGCCCCTCCAGTGTGTTGGGACTGCAATTCTCATTAACCCTAGCCATTGGCCATGCCAGCTGGGGCTGAAGGAATCCAACAACATCTGGAGGGATACAGTTTATCCATCCTTGAGCTATATGGGCAAATAGCCTGACTTGGCATAAGGCAGCTTCCTAGGTTCAGTTGCATAGTACTTTCAAGGGCATACAGATGAAGTACATGAGAATCCTTTGGTTGCTACCTAGTGTAAGACCTTGCCAGTGCTACAGCAGGAGTCCCTTCAGATGTCCTTTCTATTCTGCATTCATGATGATTTGTGCTCATGATGTTATCAGGGCGGTCACAATCTATGTAAATACCAATTCCCTGCCTTGGTGCTCCTGGCACCTCTGCATTCCCCAAGTGAGGGTTGAGACTGTCTTGTAAATGTATCCTTCTGAAAGCAAGACTGGCAGCCAACCAATACCTACAAAATAATACCTATAAAATCCGATCTAATACAAATAGGAGGGTTCAAAGATGAGAACAACCATCCTATGCTAGGAGGAGTCAAGGACCCATCAAGGCCTCTCTGAAGGAAAGACAATGCTTTTGGGCTCTGAGGGCACCACTTTAAAAAAAGAAGGGCTATTCACATTTAATACAGGATCGTCACATCGGAAATGGCCAACCCCCCTGCTTATTAGGTTGATCAGGGTGTTAGGCTACCTCTCTCACTTGCACTGATAGCTGTTGCTACAAAATTAATAGAAAAGTAATGGGGAGAGGGATAAAGAGTGTGTGGAGAAACTCAGCAACCCCAAATTTGAGGTAAAGCAACTGAGATGACTGAGTCATCCAGTGCATTGGTCTTCCACCTGTTGGGTCAGAAAAACCGACTACTGGGTCACAGTCAGATTTAAGGTGGGCCACAACAAAAGTACCAGAAAGGGAGAAATCAAGAAATGAGGTCTCATATGCATGTTTGGGTCAAAGGTGTGTCCCACGTCTGAAAAGGCTGAAGACCTTTTCTAGACCATTGGAGCTGCAACTGGTTCACACCAGCATTATTATTATTATTATTATTAATGGCAAAAAATTAAAGTGACTTTCCTCCTAATGCAGTTTTTAGTAGTTTTGTTGGTTTTAGTACTGTGGTGTTTTATTATGCTGTGAGCCACAGTTGACAGTTCTAAAAATGAGGCAGAATATAAATCAAAGTGCCTGTTGATAAGAACAAGGAATAAGCAAATGTTTGGGCTAAAGGTGGTCCCAATCTGAAATCTATACCCAGGCTTTCTCTAAAGACCCATCTTCTGTAGCTTATCAGTTCTCTGCTTGTGGCAGGCTTTTTCTGGATTGTGAAAGCTGAACTGTAGCTGGATGTTGCTTTGATTGAGTAACAGGTTATATTGGAAATCCCCATTGCAATGCCATGATTGTACTACCCTGTGGAAGAGCAAAGCCTTACCACATGCCCAGATATCCACAGGTTTGCCATAAGCTTCTTTGCGTAGAACTTCAGGAGAGAGATAGCCAGGAGTGCCTGCAAAGCCTGGGGGAGAAAGCAAAAATTGCCAACATGTGAGTTTGCACAGCTCCCGAGTCAGCAAATCAAACTGAGAAAGGGGGAGGGGAGCGACTCCGTCCGGCACTCACCAAACCAGGCCTGCTGGTCTCCTTGCACCTCAATCGCCAAGCCGAAGTCTGCCAACTTCACCGCCGCTCCTTTGCATTTGCTGGCCAGAAGCAGGTTCTCCGGCTGTCATGGTGACCCAATTTAACACAGGTGCCATTTTTAATTGAGTAATGTAATGGTTTTGGTTTGGTTAAAAGTAAAAAAAAGGAGGAAGGAGAGGAGGAAGAAACAGAAAGAAAACAACAACAACAAACAGTTTGCGGAAGCCGATTAGAAACTTGCAATCAATCCACCTCCCCCCCAAAAGTGAAATATTGAAAAAAAGAGACAAGCTATTATATGGAGACACCCCTGTCCCATAGCCAGGATAAGCAGGAGAATATTTTCCGGCAGGGCAGCCTAGTGTGAACTGCTATTGGGAGAGTTGGAAATGTTTACATCATGACTGGCCAGTTCTACTGGTTCCGAGTTTGGTTTTATTATATGTTATATAATGGGCTGCGACCCTGTACATACAGTTGGGAATAAACTCCACTGAGCTGACATGCAAAGGACTGCATTGTCAGTTGCACAGCATTTCCCCCTGTACTGTACTATGGACTCCTCTTGAGAGGCCATTCTAAACCACAGCACAATGTTTATTGTCAATGGCACTTACCAGGAATTGTGGGGAAATACCCAATAGATTCAGGTGCCCAAGGCTATTGCAAAGGGGAACATAGAAACAGTTTAGTCCCTTTTATTGCACACCAGAATTGACCTCAAGGCCAATCCAGCTGAGTACAGAAAACCAGTTTAGTTTAGTTTTTAATGAGTTTGAGTCAGGAAAGGCAAACTGATCTCTGTGGTTAAATCTGGGACTGATGAAATGTCCTGCAGATAGAGTCCTACATGCAAACATAGCACTCTTGATTAGAAGAATGCACAGTCTTGTTTCACAGTATAGCAGTGGCTTTCATCCCTCATGGTGTAAAACTGGCCAGCACCCGGCACCTCCTAAAGCAGAGCTTTCCAAACTTTTCATGTTGGTGACACCGTTTTTAGACATACAGCATTTTGAGACGTAGTAATTCTGTTTTACTACAAACCGGCGGGCTGCTCACTCCCTTTCTAGCCCCGGGAAGAGCACGGGGAGCGTTCACACTAACGTGTCGTGACACACCGTTTGGAAAGCTCTGTCCTAAAGCCTAGCCTTTTGAGACCCACCCAAGATCCTAATCAATTCCCTTTAAAAAGAAAACAGCAGATACTAAAAAGGTGAAGAGGACGCTAGACACCAGTCACTGCCCAAAACAAGTGACCTGATGATTTGGGATAGAGGTTTTGGCTCCAGGAAAAAAAATCTCTGGGGAAGACTCAGTAGGTATGTTTTGCTCACCATATTTGGGATTGTTAAGAAATCCCCTATCAGGTGAGACTAGCTAGGGATCCTGAGGATGTATTTCCCTATAGCTTGTAGGTAGCTTTGCCTGCCTGAGTCATCTGCAGCCATTTGGCTCTTAGGGCTCCTGACTGCCATGCCTCTACTTTCTGCTTGCATCATATTGTGACTGGGGATCTGTAGGTTGTCTATAAAGGGCTGAACTGCCCTGGAGCAGAGAGTTGCACTAAGTGCTCTTCCATTCTTCCAATTCTATCTAGTTGCTCCAATTTTGACTGTAGAAGTGCAGATATACCTAATAAAGTTATATTATTGTTGTTGTTATTATTAGTTTAAAAAGTCAGGTCCAATGAAGCTAAGGAAACATATCCCAGGCTGCAACGTCAAAACGGAAAAGCAGAGCATATAAATTGTGCTCTTGTTGTTTTCTAGTTTCCAGCTTGTAAACTGACAACAATGCAACAGACAACATTCTATCCACCAAGCATGCACAAGACAGGGCTCCCCTCCATTCCATCCTTTGTGTGGACCTTTTGGCTCCATCTGCTGATATTCATTAAGTTATGCTTTGCGTCACATTTCCTCTGGTATCTCCCAAGATTGTGATCTAGAGACTTCCAGACAGGTCTGCTGGGAACCAGCAGAGACAAAAGAAGTTGCTAGTTAAAATATTCCCTAGGAATCTTTGGCAATGTTACAAACGATACAAGCAGGGAGTGTGCGCTAGCTCTGGCAGTGAATTAGAGAAAAGCCGTGGCTGCCAATATGTGAACATGCATCTTTGTGCAAAGGCCATGCCCTGCACACTGTGCACATTTCTCCTTAATTGCTTTATGAAGAACACTATAGTGAAGAACTTTGGGAGAGTAAAAGTAGCCTAGTTCCTCCATCTCACACACCCTATGAAAAGCATCAACACATCATGGCAATTTTCAAATGGGAAGCAGTATGAATTCCTAAGCAGCAATTCCCACTGAATACAGCGGGGCTTACTTCCCTGTTAACATGCTCACGCTGCCCAACAAATAATCTATCTGACCCAACATCCATCTTTTTTGATTGGGCAACCTGGAAAAGAATAATTATAGCTAGGAGGGCCCTGTTGCCTCACTATCCAATCTGATCAAATCCCAAATGGAAGTCTCTCATAAAAATGGAATCTAGAGGTAAAAGGTGACACACTGAGGCTTTTATTTTATGTTTTCTTTGTCTGTGTGTGAAGACAACACCTTTATTCAAAGACAGTCTTACCCTGGCAATAGTTGTTGATAACTTCCAGGTCCTATCTTCTCAAGATAGTCTATCACTAAAGACCCAGTTCCAGTCATCTTACCACTGAGACACAGCAGATTATTCAATGATACTTCTATAACCTTTCCCTTTACCAATCTGATACCTTCCAGACATTTCAGACTACAATGCCAAACAGCCCCAGCCAACACAGTCTTGTTGGCAGAAGCTGATAGTCCAAAATACCTGGAAGGCATTCTGTTGATGAAAGCTCCACTACTGAGCTGGGATAAGGGACATATTTCCACCAGAGGGATATATTCTCCATCCCAGTGTCACTGTATCTAATCAGTATCACTTCTCATTTTAAGGGTTTCAGCTATACTACTCATCAGTGGGGACGTATTCAAGCTGCAGTGGCTGCATTAAACCACCTTCCCACCCAAGGGCCTCCAATGCCAAAGCCAAGCTTCAATTAGTATGAAGGTCCCAATGCATACTATAAATCCAACTGCAAGTCAGTCATAAGGCTCCCTGATGCCATACCACTATTCAGTGTTCAAAACTCCTAGTGTTCTAGGCACATTTTGCAACAGGGAATTTCATTAGCGCAAGTAGTTTCTGAGCTCTGGGCGCAATACTGTGCCTAAGATTTCAAATTAAAACTGCAGAGTGGAAGGAAAGGAGGACCTTTTTCTGCCTTCTCATTTCCAGCTACTCTCTGAAGACTGGAAAAGAGACCCTCTTAAGAATATTAGGGGGGTGGGCTAGACCATGTGAAAAATGAGCATAATATTTTAGCTGCAGTTCATTCATTTTCAGCTTTGTATTCATGTTATATAAAAGTGTGCCTAGACATTCCGTTGTTACGCCTATAACCTAGATTTAAGGTGCCATTTAGCGCTTAGCTTTCATATCTCAGTTTCTAATACTGCCACTAGTTTCTTGGCCCAATTTACAAGAAATTCCAAATTAGATGGATCGATAGATGTAGGAAAGCAATTCCACCATTTATTCTCCAGTAACAAAAGAATGCATTCCAGAGGTACCATCTTAGTTGCTATTTTTAACATTATTATCTATTTATACTATTTATCATAGCAATAAAGAATGGCTCTACATGCCAGAAACCAGCACCCTCACAATGATACCAAATAGTTCCATTTGTAAAGACTGGCTCACACAGTATAAGGTAGAGATCACGATACTAAATGGTCTTGGTCCAATGTACCTGTAAGGCTGTCTTCTTCCCTATCAGGCCTGGTTCAGGGTCCTCAGTACAACTTTGTGAAGCAATGTACAGTCAACCTTGTGAGCAATGCTCACTGAAACTTCCTACAGACACTTGTACTGTTGACTACTCAAGTCGGAAAGCAATCAACTGTCAGCTAAGCCCACAAAATCTTCCTTGGCCAAAATTCTGATGTCCTCAAGTATTTTTTGGTCTTTATTCATTCGCTTAGCTATTAATCTAGCTCTTTGCAAAAGGCTAGGAAATAAATTAAGGCATTCAACCAGCACAATTTAAATACATTCACCTACAATTCTAAACACATATAATGTGGCAGCTCCATTATAAACAACAGAACTCACCTCTAAGTAAATGTATGTATGATTTGGGTGACAAGCTTTCTTACGCCACATGCTAGCAGCAGAGGAAATTATCAGCTAAACAGCCATCCAGTTCTTCTTATTTGATACATAGGGATTACACACCTAAACGGCAGTTTAATGATATACATAGACAGATTCTGGCCTGATTCTCCGCACAGTTTTAACAAATTGCTTTTGATTTTCAGGTTTTACATTTCCAAAGGATGAGCACCCATTGTTTCTTCAGCCCATTAACACTTGGTGTAACCTGCAGTCTTTTTTCAGCAGGCACAATCCAACCTAGTTAAATGGCATCTCATTCACAAAGGCTTATGGAGAAAGACTGCCTTATTCTATCTGTAAATGTGTATCAGTTGTATGAACACAATGAGTCAGTGAGACTGTGCTTCCTCATATATCAGCATGATGCAATAGCATTTAAATATACACATCTGTAGTCTGCCTTCACCTAAAAACAAGTAGCAAAAAAGAAGTATCAAATCTGGATCCAAGGCTTTATTTAACTGCAAATCATCCAATGAACCTCCATCAGTAGTTACAGTAAATCAAAGAGACTGTACCCTTTGTAGCAAAGGGCTAGTACAAGAGGAAATCTAATCATATTGTTAGTAATTATTAACCAGTTCTCCTACAGCAGTGACAAGGAACCTGTGTCATTTCAATGTCCTGCTGGACTCCAACTCCCACCATCCCTGACTGTCGGCCATGCTGGCTGGGGCTGATGGTAGCTGGAGTCTAACAACATATAGGGAGCCACAGATTCCCCATCCCTGCCTTACAGATTATCATAGATATGTGTTTATCACCAGTACTGCATTTCAGCCAAGTATTATAGGAAGAGCCCTGTTCCTTGGAATAACAGGTGCTCAGTTGCAAATTGTACAATCCCATGTGCAAGAACAGGGCAGGCAAGAGGCCCACCCATATTCACAGGACTAGCCCATGCATGAAATTCTGGTTTAATATCTGATGGACTTCATTTCAAAACTGGTTAGAGAAAATATTTATAGTAACCAAGAACCAGAAGATCTTCCACATTGCTGCTACCAATGTAATATCATACACTATTCCCGAGAACATCTTTTCAGCAGCAGAACACTTATCAATGGGCCTTCATGCTTAAGTAACATTGTCCAAAGTTCTGGGTACATTTTTTTAATGGACACATAAAAAAACAACAACTTGCCTCTGTCAGATGTTAGGTAGTTTCAGGCAAAACATGATTAGGCAATTTTGAAAAGAAAGCCATCTCAAGGAAAGGTCAATGTGCAAATGAGCCAAATAAGAACTTTGTGAATTGGTGAGCCCCAAAACGATGCATAAAAGAATCAGGCGTTGTTTGTGTTAAGCAGAAAGTTAAACTATTAACACATAACTTCTTTAATGTCGAATTTCTGTCCCAAAGCCCAATATGAAAAGTATCAGCAAATACAGTGGAATTGGAGTGAGAGGGGAAGCCCAGGATCTTTCTAAGTGCCAACAGAAACACCACACTACTTTTCAGCAAGTAGCGCCCGAGTACATATTGCACACACAGACACAGAGTTGTTATTGTAAATGTTCCCCATTATCTCATTGCCACTCTAACAAACACAGGCATTGCTGAACCTCAACTGTCCATTACACTCGTCAAAACAGGATCTCTTTATAATACTCCATGGCTCCAGGCCCAGAGTGTTGTAAAGAGACCAGACAGGGAGCGAACAAACAGAGAACAAGAATCCAATACGGTTAAGTCACAGTGAACAAATAATTTGCACACATTTAAACCAGACATAATGCATGCAAACATCTGGAGAGATGTTATATCTGTTTCGTCTACTGCTCATGTTGGAGCCCTTGCCCCAGACACCCACCATGGGAGGAGAAAAAGTTTGGAAATGGTTGAGGGTGGGAGGATGAGTGGCTAAAAGGAAAGCGGAAAAAGGCAGGGAGCAGTTGGGGAACCGAATGAATCATTTATTGAAAAGCTTTGCAATTCGGCTGTCCTAGACCCTACCATGTCGCCCTGGACTGCCACCTGACAGCTGCCCAGAAATCAGCTCAGATTAGCTAAAAAATAGTAAGGGATGGGAGAAACACTTCACCATGCAGTAGGTAAACACAAAAATGCTTTCTTTGCGAGGGACTACATACCTGCCAATATTATGGGGGCAACCTCAAACAGTCAGGCACTGCCCAATGAGTGGCATATAACTGGGATTACAGAAGGCTTGGGGGTAAAAGAATTAGGAATGGTTGATACCACTTGCTCAGGCAGAGGTGCTACTGGAATAGAAATGAACAGCCCCAGGTGCATTAATAGACTATTTTTAAGCAAGTGAAGTCCTTTGTTAAGGACAATTCCTTTTGGGTTCCTTCCTGTGCTTCTTGGAGGGAGGGAGCTGCAGGTCCTTTTCCCCCACCCCAGGGAGCTGTTCTATAGTGAGCAAAAGAAATCAGTTGTGCCAGCCCCTGTGTGAACTGACAAGGGCCAACAAGCACTCATGCATGCTACGTCCTTGGACCATTGCAGTGAAAGACACGTAAACACCTCTCCTAACCCCTGAAATGAGAACTTTCTGAACAAGCCCCGCTCAAAAGTGCTCCACTTGTCTTTTGCCTCTACATTAAGGGTGCAGTTTGTGAGTTTACCACCATGTGGCAATAAACTCGCCTAAATGCCTCCAACCATCTCTGCAGTGCCACTAATAAAGTTTAGCTCTGCAAAACTGTGGTAAGCACCAACAGCACTATTACAACAGAGCAAAAAGCTGAATAAACAGTGTTTCTGACTCAAACCTTATGACCACGTCTAGAGGGGGTTAAAAAATGGGCAGTTTTCCCTTTGTTAAGATGACAGGTATCACCTGGTGTACAAAATATTGTTCCCCAATGGTCAGCCATGCCCGTGGAGGAATCACAGCAAAAGCTACAGTACATATGCAGGTATCATTAAGCTGATTTCTGATTGGGCTGTCACAGGGATGTCCTAATCCATCGTCAAGCAGTACATCACTGCTTTCCACTGGTCTGATTACTAGAGGATCCTGCAACAGGATTTTTAGGAAATTTGGTCTGAACAACTCAGAACTGATCCGCTTCTTTAAAAAAAAGCATGCAAAGATACAAAGACGGACAGACGGACAGAGCAGTGGGGAAGAAAACTCACCTTGAGGTCTCTGTGGACGACCCCCATTTGGTGGCAATGGAGAACAGCCTCCAGGATCTGCTGGATGCAATGACTGCATGCAAACACCAGGGGGCGTGTTAGTTCACGGTGAGTGGTAACAACCACACAGGCTGGTGGGGTGGGGTGGGAATAATGGGGGGAGAAGTAAGGAAAGGGAAAACGGAAGAGGAGAAGAAGGACAAGGAAAGGGAGGAAAGGGAGAATGGAAAATAAAGGAATCTGACTCCCTCTCTGTTCAGGTTCTAATTGCAAAAAGAAGAGAAACCCCAAGTTACAGATACAAACTCTGGGAAAGTGAGACTAGGACTGCAGAATGATGAATTGCCCCTCGCCTCGCTCTAAAATGCAAGGACTCAAGACAGATAGGAAATCTGACAGCCAGGGGACGAGTTACAAAGCAGGTGAAGAAGGGACACCAGAGGTGTCGTTGCTGAACTAAAGGAAGGCAAAGGAATGGAACTTCTAAGGAGGGTCACAGGAAGTTTGTCATCTCTGCCCTCAAACTCCAATCACCTTCCACAACCCTGTTCTGGAGCTGCAGGACACCTATTCAGGTCTGACATCAGCACTCAGCACCTTGGGACCGCTGCCAGGAGACCTCCACCCGAAAGGGCCTGCCATTGCAAAGGTTTGCCCTGAGTCCTCGTGACTAGGTGCACCAGGGACTCAAGTCTTTATAATTCCATACAGTGTCCCCAACGTAGCATGGTTCTTCTGCATTCTGTGAAATTTTAATTTCCACCACTGGCAATGTTTGTGGTCAGAGGCCCACAAGGGCACTTCCATCAAAGGCCTCCTCAAATCTGGAGCAGGCTGGGCACCAAATCCACTTACGCTCAAACAGAATTTACCAAAGGTTTCAAATTAGTTTGACTGAGTCGGTTGCTTATATCCTTTGTCAACTCAACGGTGGTCCATGGGCAATTTTAAATATTCCTATATTCAAACGTAATGACCAATGTAGTAGTCACTGCTTTTTATTTTCATCTCGCAGAGGCGGCAGAAGTATGTCCAACTAAGGATTATTGTACTTTTTGTGACTTATTACCACATGGCAGGAAGGAGAGAAAGCCGCAAAAGCCCAGCCCAATAATGCTATCTGGAACATTAGATGTTCAGTGATGGCTGTCCCTTAAAAAGAAACAAAGAAGTACTTGGAACACCTCTGTGATCATCCTCTTTCCCCATTACATGGCTTGAGAAGATTTCAGGAGTTTTGTGAAGCATGATGAATTTTAAAAGACGGTGATGTAGTCATTGACCATTCTAAAGCAAGTAGAAGACTTGGTCATGTGCAGGTTTGATTTCATAAATGTGAATGCTCAGGAACAACAAGAAGTTCAAGCATTCACTGAAGGGCTTACTGAAATCTATCCTCTCTCTAATCACACATTTCCATTTTTTAGATGGCATAGCCATGTGCCCTACTTCACATGGGACAGCCCTCAACTTGAAGGCGTGTCTGGTTTAGAGGTAAGAATCAGAAGACAGGACAGCAAGAAGAGCCCTGAAGTTGCCCATCAATGGTTAGCACCTGAACAGCAGATTGAGCTGGCACATAGACTACCTGGTCAAAGTCTTAGGTGAAGATTTACTATATTTCTACTCAAACTGTAGTAATTGCTTCCCAGTTTACATCTATACGTATTAAGTAGCATAGGCAAATGGTATACAAATCGGTGTCCTTTTTTGGCAATGCATTTCCACTTTCCCCCCTCTCTAATATGCAAATGGCCATCCTAGTACTTTCCTGCCTAGATCCAAGCAGACATCGTGTACAATAACACTCTTGGCCCTGCTAAGGAAGGCAATCAACCAATTATCACTGCCGTTAACAATTTCACAAGCAACCATTTAAGCAACACCAGAAGCAGCCGCTTCTAAGGCTTGGCTCACATCTAAGCTCCTCAATTATGCCCCATCTCTACTTGTTCATCAGTATCTCTTCGAGAGATACATTCTTCCAGAGGCCAAAACAGACAAGCATTACTTAACAGCACTCTTCTTGCACTCACCTGCCTTTTAGGGATCCATCACTCCGGCTTGGCTCCAGAGTTTGGCAGGGCCCTGGGCATGTCACCCAACACCCAAGTGTGGGCCCTCCAGCAGCAGTGGTGTGACAGTCACCAGCCTCCTCCCTTGCTCGTAAGACTGGGGGAGGGGGGAGCACACCTGCATAGAGGGGGCCTGCAAGGTGTCAACCCAAGTGGCCTTGTTGGGGCACACAGACCCCAGCAAATGAACCATATCCTATACTGTTCTGGAGGGTTCCCTGAACCCTCAGGAACAATTATTTGGGAGGTACAGGTGGGTTTTTCTGGGGTGGTAGTGGTGAATATTAGATACCCTGACTTGCACCCAAGAGTAAGCACCGTCCACTAATGTGAAACCACCAAATAAACCCACAGTGTCTATAGCCCAAAGACATTTGGAGAGTTTCTTAGAAGTTTGCAGAAATCCTGTTCTATCTGGATGAAGCTCTTAGGTTGCTCTGAGCCCATGGCAGAGTCTAAGGTAAATCTGAAGAAAACCTCCAGCCTATTTGTAGTCCCTCTTGAATGTGATAAGGCAATAGTGTGAGCTTCACAGATAAGCCATGGTGCGGTGTGGGGTTACAGCTGGATATCTGAAAGCATAGTTGTAGTGGGAAGCAGGGGGAAGATAGTTAGGCATGATTATCAGTGGCAAATGCTGTCCTCGGACTCACATTTGCCAAAACTGTTTCAGCTCTATGGGATGTTCCACACATTACGTAACAGCAAACTTTACATCTTTAGGTGTACACATAAAATATATTGCATGTCCATCTAAAAATGAAGCAGTCCCAGTTCAGGGTAATCCATGTATGATATGGGTCCCTGATAATAAGTGATTATTCCCTCCTGCACATCGCTAATGTACTGAAAATGATTATCCCTAAAGAACTGAATGAACAAGCTGATCTCAGCAGAGTGTCCTTGAATCCTGTTGACCTTCAACACAGTGTAAAGCTCATCTGTCTCCACAGAATTCTGACATAGAAAGAGAATGATCACCCAATGGACAAGAAAAGATCATTTTAAGAATAAAATGGATAATGCCAATGCTATACCTCATAGCTTTCATTATGCACATAGATAAATTTATCTACATCACTGACTACTGCAACAAAGAGTGCATTTAAAATTGGGGCATCACTTAAGACAGCATTGGGGAACCTGCGGACCTCCAGATGTTGCTTGACTGCAACTCCCATAATCCCTGATCATAGGCCATGTTGGCTGGGGTTGATGGGAGCTGAAGCTCAAAATCATCTCGGGGGTCATAGGTTCCTCATCCATGAATTATTTACCTGCCCTACAGAAGGAATAGTACTGCCATATTTGGGTGAGGACATTAAAAATATGGGTTCCAATTCCTTTCAGTCTACAAATGAACGAACTAATTTTGTTTCATATCCTAAGCTGCAGACACCAGTTGGATTGCCACTAATAAAAACGGAAACCAAACGAAGAAAATTAAGTTCTACAGCTTGCCATCTGAAACATGAACAACTCCTACATGGATCAGGCCCAATAACCCTGCTTTCGTGTGGGAAATGATGGGTCCCTTTAAGGCATTTGCTCATTGTACCCTTAACATGCGGGACGCGGGTGGCGCTGTGGGTTAAAGCCTCAGCACCTAGGGCTTGCCGATCGAAAGGTCGGCGGTTCGAATCCCCGCAGCGGGGTGCGCTCCCGTTGCTCGGTCCCAGCGCCTGCCAACCTAGCAGTTCGAAAGCACCCCCGGGTGCAAGTAGATAAATAGGGACCGCTTACTAGCGGGAAGGTAAACGGCGTTTCCGTGTGCTGCGCTGGCTCGCCAGATGCAGCTTGTCACACTGGCCACGTGACCCGGAAGTGTCTGCGGACAGCACTGGCTCCCGGCCTATAGAGTGAGATGAGCGCACATCCCTAGAGTCTGGCAAGACTGGCCCGTACGGGCAGGGGTACCTTTACCTTTACCTTTACTTACCCTTAACATATTGCTGCTAGTGGTGTGCATGACAAGAGTTCCTGGCTCATTCTTAAAGAATCTGGTTTTGCCCTATATGCAACACACTTTCATACTGTGCACTGATCAGTTCTGAGTAAGTTACTCCTTGTTGGAGGTGTGCAAATGTCATATGAACAAAGTATTTTAATTCAATATTATCCTACCAGCACCTCCCATCCTCCCAAAAACAATATGGCAGAAGAGGCCAGTTTCATTTGACCTCATTTGTATGTGTCAATTCATAAATCTGCTACTATTTCAGCACCGATTTGTGATTTTTTAAAAAAAAATCTACACAAAAATTCACACATAAATGCATATTTAAATAAATGTTTTTGGAAAGAAACCTAATAAAATTCACGTTTCTAAGCATATTTTCTCTCTAAATACACATTTCAAAATTTATTTAAGGTTTTTTGAGCCAGCAACTGCATCACTACGCAGAGATGTATGACATCTAAAGGATAACTACATTCTGATCAGCACATTATTAGTTCAGGAACTGTGGATCAAGTCAATTCATAGCACAATTCACACAAATCTAATTCCTTAAGTACCCTAATGTCTAAACTCAACCGACATTGCTCCTGTTAGCAAGACCTGGTGATAAGTTGTATTTTATTGACTCCAAATCTTAACAGCCATTCTTCCTAAGACAAGAAAAGACCCTGTAAGTAGTTGACTAATATAGCTGAAAAGTCTTTCCCAAACCCCTACTGTCAGGCCCAGGACCCTTTGAGGGCCGCCAAAACTTCAACACATTGATAGGCCCTAACGCTGCCAACAAGTGCCCTAAATCTGTGAGCTACTATTTTACATTTCCCACAACACCCCTGGCACAAAATTGCTCTGGAACACTATGGGAAATTTAAAATGGCAGTGCACTGCCACTGCTGAAGACCACCAAACATGAGGCAGCCCTCCAAATATAAGGCCACTTGTCCTATATTTGAAGTGCTGTCTTATCCAAGTCTTGTTTAAAGGTAAAGAATCGTACGAAGGAAGGAGAGCATAAGGGACCTTGAAGTTGCCCATCAA